CCCGGCAAATGCGTGTGCCGATTTAGCTTGAACCTCCTTCTTCTTTTGCTCCTCATTCTTAGCATTAATATGGTTGCGCTGCAAAGCTTATTAGCATTTTTGAGACGTTTAATGCTGTACGTATTACTCTTTCTGAAATATTAATGCGTTCTTCTGCAGTGTTTTTGTTTGTTAGCGATAAGGCTATGGAAAACAGCAACACCAGCATAGGTTTCTAAGATGACAGTAGTGCATTTTCACCTCTTGCCTAATGGCTGCCTTATTCAAAGCCTTTCCTCTTCAGCTGGCTCAAGCTCGCTGTACCTTCTGGGCCACAAATTACGGACTGCCATTTTTTATAGTTGCAATTGCAGTTTGTGCAAATACAGGCTAAATTGCAATCATTATATGTAGTAAAATAGCTTGAAATATCTGTAAGTCTGAAGACTGTAGATGGCTCTTTTAATCAGAGGACTTGTTAAATTCTCCCTTGCTTTGATTTCTCTTTCTTAGATTTATTTTCTTTTTCTGTCAGGTGTGGGGTGGTTCTGTGTTCAGTATTCCTGCTTCTAATTTGGAATGCTTGGTTTGAGGTATGAAATGAGCAAAATGATACACTTTGTCTATAATATTTGAATGCAAGATAGTGAATTTTCTCTTGGCTTTTATTAATCCCCTCATAATTTTTTCTATGCCACTTGTATAAAACAGTGTTGAAGAAAAGGCTACAGTATGCTCTAAGGTTATTCTACAAAATTGTCCCATTAAAGCTCTTCATTTGAAAATCACAAGCTAAATGATGTAATGATTTTTAAATTCCTCCTTCCTAAATCATTCTGTGCGTTGAATCGATTGATGAAGTATCTGAATATAAAAATGTAAGTGAGAGGAGAAATCCTTTGTAGTTGTGCATACTGTGAATCCTAACAGAAATAAATGAAACAGCATTAAACAAAACACTTCAGAAAGAATTGAACGTGAATTAAGTTACCATGTGATGTTGCAACCCCATGGGCAAGAACCATGCCTGTCTACCAGTTTTCTGATGTTTATGGCACATGGAGATTGGTAATAATGGCATGTTTTGTCTTTTGACCTTATGTTTATTTACAAGAGACACTCAACAGTTTTAACTTTATACACCAATTTAGAGGGAAATTTCTAAAAGGAGTGAAGGGGAGAGTAAAGCAGTTAGATCTGGTTGTCTGTTGCCTTTTGTACCTTTGGACATCTTTCACTTGGGTAATGGATTTGGTTCATTCTCATACAAAAGGTTTCCATACAGCAGGGATATATTTTGGCTAAATTTTTATGATGGATCTATTTTACCAGCCTGATACCTATATCATCTGTTTCTGTACAACAGAAATTCTGCTTTTTCCTTCCCGAACAAAAGTTGGGCTATTTCTGAGACCATATTCGCTATCCTCTTTGCTTCAGGGGCAGGTTAGCAATACATTAACAAACCTAGATGTGATCAGTGACTTGGCTGTGTTTTGAAAATAATAGGAACATATATATATATCTCAAAAGATCTTTTTAACCTGCCTGAGTTCCTTTACGGAAGAGATAACTGCCGAGCAGTCATTTAGGTTGGGAGAGTCCTGAGTTCATTGAGGCTAAGTTGGGCGTCGTGTTACCCCAGGTGCACGTTCAGGGCAGAACAGGCACTGGGCTGGAGCTGCTTCCTGAGAAGCTGTTGACGTGTCTCACCCTGAATCCTGCCACGAATAAATCAGCCTCTGTGTTTCATGAGCAAACAGTTGTTTGCTTGCTAAAACCACTCACGTGCCATCTCCAACATCCCAGTACCTATAGGGAAAAAAGTTCCATGTTTTCATAACCATTTTCTCTTTCCTAGTAGCACATGCACCTCCATCACATGCGGTGTGGTGGGAGCCAGAAATGTGTGCGTTTAGGGCTCCGGTAAAGACAGAGCCAGGCTCTAATCTATTACAATTTAGTGTTTTATTGTAGTTCCTCAATCTCAGTGACACTTTCCCTTCTTTTTTTCTTTGTAACTAGTTTTTACCTCACTATATCTTTCAAAGTGTAAATAGTAAATTAGTCTAGCTCACACCAATGTTTCTCAAATATTATCCTCTAGGCATATTCATATAGCTTTGATTTTCAAGAAGAATCATTATCTAAAGTAAAATTAATTATAAATACTTAAGATGTTTATCATTTAGGGTGTCTTAGGAGTTGTATTTCATTCAGAGTGGCAGCGATTCCTGGCTTCTCTTCAATTCCACTCTCCCTACACATGCCTTTGGGGTGGCTTACTTTGCCCACAACGCTGTGTCACTTGTTTCACTTTTAATTTTTGTGTATGACATCTCACTTCTGATATGTTTCCTTCTGCTGAGCTATTAAAAAACAAAGGAATGTGTAGATGTGGTAAAAAAAAAAAAACTGATAAAACCTGAAACTAATAATAGTAGTCATAAAAGAACATAAAGCAGAAAGAAACAGAAAAAACATCAGTGGTAGCCATGTTGGCATTGAACAGAAAATTAAGGTACATGTAATACCATCTTTCAGGTAAAGGGTGATCAGGTAGTGAAGTGACTGTAAGCCAATTCTGTTTCCTTTGGAGGCATTAGAAAAAAAATTTCCTTTTTCCAAGGTAGTAGTGTCCTGAATTTACTTGGTAGCTAAAAAGTGCTCTGTTTAGTTTCCTTTTTCCTCTCCTTAGTAGCATACTGAAAATACTACATCAAAGTCACTGTAAGTGTTCTCTTTAAACAATCAAAAAACAGCTAGTTATTGCTAAAATTAATTCCTCAGGGGGACTTTCATGTTAGGACGAAACAGCAAAATAAAGACTATTTATACAGAAAGAAACATACTTTGCCAGTATCTCCGAGTTTCCCAAGCAATTGTTTAAGGCAAGTATTGGACAAAGAATCTTTTCTTGGTGACTCTTGACTGAACTAGATAGTATGTGACCAGATGCTTAGAAAGTGGATCACAGTGTGCACAGGGCAAGCTGCAGCCAGGCTGAACAGAAAGCTTGCTTTCTCATACATGTAGCATTGGAGTGTGTCACTCCAAACCTTAGATGTTGGCTTGGATTTTCTTAGGAATGGCCGTCATACATTAAGAGTAGTCTTCCAGTCTGAGTAATTGGCTTAGCTATATATGAGACAGGCTCTAAATGGCATCTAACCTGAGACAACTTATTTTTTTTCAGGTGAGACAGCTTAGGGCGCTAATTTAATGTAGTACAGCTTGTACTGGCACATGTACGTAAACACCTTTGGCTGTCCTTTACCACGGCTGTTTCAGGGAGCTGGATAGCCCTGGAGACCAGCTGTGTCTGCAAACACCCCCAAGCCACGGAGGGGCTGATGCCCACCACCGCCCTGCGGGTCAGCCCTTCACAGCGGTGACTGCCCTGCCTGCTCCTGGAAGTGGGGCCATGGCCGTCGCTTCCTTGCAGATGCTGTGGTCACCTTTAAACCACCTCCCAGTGGATCCCGCTGCCGGGAGGCTCAGCAGGCAGTGGGGCACTGGGTGCCCGCTGCCCACAAGAGGTGGGAGCAGTAGCCCCTGGCGTGCCGTTGCCCAGAGCTCCACTGCCTCTGAAGCCTCCTCGCTCTGCCAGATTTACCACCCTGCCTTGTCTTCTGCGAAAGCAGCACGTCAGAGCTGTTTTCTGACTGAAAAACAAGAAAGCTTTTTCTCTGCTGATTGGTGGCTTTCACTTTGCCGCCTTATGCAGTGATTACGCTTCCCTCAGTTTTGCTCCTTCTCAGCCTGGGATAGGCACCACAGTGCCTCTTACTAAGGTACAAGTTTTTAGTGATTTTAAGCACCTTTATGTTGTGTGTAAGGCATTGCTCTAACCTTATTTTAGCACTTGCAAATTGGGCAATAATTATAGGCACCAGGATAGCACTGTGTGACTGCGCAACCAGGCTTCCCTTAAACTTTTTTGTCTCCACACACACCCCCTTACACACCTTATTTTCAGCTACATATCAGTCTGCAGGTAGTGGAAGCATAAATTGCTTTATGTAGACACTACTGATGAGTCTCTGATGCCAGTTCTTAGCTTTTTTCCTCTTAAGAACTCACCCGTTTAGTTCAGAAATACCTGCACAAGCATTTGTGTTCTCAAAGACTGAAGGCATATTGCAAAGTCAAGTCTCTCTTTCAGTGTCTGTATGTCACATTTACTGTTCTGCCTTATGAAAACCAAGTAGAGGCTACAACAGCTTTTGAGTTGTGAATTTCTTCATTGATTAGTATGTCTGTATTCATTGAACTTTTTACGTATTCTATCATTATATTAATACTAATTAATACTAATGCTGCTATGAAATAAAGCCTTTCTAAGGTCAGATAGTCAAGCATTCTATGAGACTAAAGGTTTTGGAGACTTGGGAAGCTGTTTGCTCTTTTTTAAATGAGGTGCTTTCTTGTGTGCCAGTAAACAAGCAAAGGGGAAGCAACATCATTTATGTTAAGCTGTGCTTTGCTGGAAATACTTGTTTCTTGAAAAAACCTGCTGTGTGTGTTTACCATAGCACCAGTTTCAGCTTGGAGAAAAAAGTTGGATAAGACTGTGAGAGAACTAATAATATCTTCTCAGAGGAGAAATGTGTTTGAAAATATCAGCCATTCATACAACCTGGCTCATTCTGGAAACGAAAACTCTTGTGTAGCAGTATTTGGTTTTGTGAGTCTAAGAATAATGTTCTCCTTGAAACTGTTAGCAGTGGCCAGTTGGACATTGCTGTCAAAGGAGGAAGAAGCCACCCCATCCTTACTGCTGGTAGAGACTTCAGTGTGACACCGGGCGAGCCAGCTATTGCCTATGACTTGTTGTCAGGTCTTTAAATTATGTGCCATTCCCTCCAAGTCTGAATGGGGATATCTGCTGAACTAGGTTTAGCTTGATGTTATTTTGGAACAAATTACATTGATTGCATACTATTTCAAAGGCCCCAAGTAATAAAGTACACAATCAAATGTAACTGTCTGACTAGTTTCGTTTCTCTGTGTGGTTTTAGGTATAAAAACTTAACGATTTGTTTTCCAGACTCTTCTGGCAAAGATTTCGGGCCTACGCTGGGATTGAAGAAGTCCAGTTCTCTTGAGAGCCTTCAGACTGCTGTGGCTGAAGTTAGGAAGAACGAACTCCCTTTTCACAGACCCAGGCCCCACGTGGTCCGGGGTCGAGGGTGTAATGAGAGTTTCCGTGCTGCCATTGACAAGTCGTACGATGGACCTGAAGATGGAGAAGAGGGTATGTATGTTGCTCATGGCATTTCTTGAAGGAGCCACCTTCACTTAGCACTGTTGAGGGCCGACTCAGTAAAGCGCATAATCAAGTGATTTAGTTGATCACATTTTAAAAGCTGCCCATGTCTTCCACTGGATAGAGCTGTCTTTGCGGTACCCCACCCAACCCTGACTGTGTTTAATGCAAAGCCTTTTACTGATCTCGTTTGGGGCAGGAGTGTGTTGGAGGATTTAGAACTTGATCCCTAAATAATTATATTTTCCAACATCAAGAAGCAGCTGCCTTCTTCAGATTACATTAAAAATTATCTTGCTTGTTTTACAGAGCTGTCTACAGTTCCCCTTTCTCTAACCAGGAAATTTGTTTCCTATTATAGACAAGGCAGAGTGTATTGATAGCACCCTGCTGCTCATTCTGTCACCATAGGCTTACAGACCCCAGTCTGGAAATATGTCTCCTTTAGCATGAAGGATAAAACTGTACTTGAATCCTGAGCCCCCCAAATAGAAACAACACAGCTCTTCTCCAACCAGACAGAACACTTTGGCTATTTCTTGTTCAGCCATTAAAATAGAAAGATTCTGGGGAGTGAATGAAATAATTTTGTTATGTAGGTTGGTTATGTCAGTCACCAGAATCTCTCACTGTTTGCCTCCCAACATGTCGATTTTCTTGAGCTGGTAGAGGTTAACAAGCTAGATTTCAAACAGAATAGTGTTTTACCATGTCGGGATTTTTGTGTGAAGAATAATAACTAGAAAACAATTCGTTAAAGTAACTGTATTTAATTTACAATAGAAATCTTCTTGAATTCAATAGGTATGTTTAGTCTGCTTTTTAAATTATTCAGTAAAATGAGTAAGCATCATGAGTCATTTGAGCACTTTGTAGACGCTCATGCTGTATTTCATGTGTTTGCATTTTGGAGGTCCCTAGCCATCATCGCTGCTGCTTTTTCATTCTGTGCAGATGGTTTCTCTGATAAGAGCTCTCACTCTGGTCAAGAAGCTCAGAATATGGAATCTGCCCCTCCAGGGAACCCTGAAATAGAAGATGCAGAAACCAAAGCAAAAAAAGACAAAAAAAACAGAGATAAAGAGAAGAAAAAGGAAAAAGGCAAATCTAAAATCAAGGAGAAGAAAAGGAAAGAAGAAAATGAAGATCCAGAAAAGAAAAAGAAGAAAGGGTTTGGTGTCATGTTGAGGTATGGCATTTTAAAAAACAGCCACCCATTCGCATTGTAACATAGGAGACAACTGATGTTCTCATAAAGTAGCGGAAAAATTATTTCACTTGGACTCAAAATAATGTTTATGTTATTTAAAAAGAAAGCAGTTTATACTTTTACACCAAACTTGTAGCTGAGGCAGAAGACATTTGGCAGACAAAATGTCTTTTTGTGCCTTTGAAATTCATTCCCATATGTCAGGAAAGATTCAAGGTTTCAGGCTAAAAGCAAGCGTGTGCTAGTGGGGGAGGCTTTGTGGGGAATGTTTCTGAGTAATACATGACCCACTCCCACGCTCAGACCTTCGCCTTCTCTTCCCTTGCTTATCTGCTTCCCTCACAAGCTTTAGGGAGAGCAGGATTGCTCGTGTTACTCTAAACAGTCTCAGAACATCTGCAGCTGCTGAAAACCGCTAGCTGTGATAAAATCTTTGCTTCACAGCTTCAGACGTTGCCTGCAGTGGTCTAAAGCTCACTGTCCTCCCTAACCAATGTGCAAGTGTTTGGATTTCTTCTGTGGCTATTAGTTGGTTTTGCATCTCTGGAATCTTCAGAGATTAGGCCAGGTTCTTCCGGCCATTTCCTTGCTGTTGCTCGAGATTTTGGTGCTGAGGCATTCTGGTTGCTTTCACTTCTGCTTCTGGTACCCATTTACTCTATCGAGGATTAAAGTGTTTCTGTTCAGATAAACCTTTGCAGTTATTGTAGGGTATATATGTGAAATGTAATGATCATCTGGAGGCGTTGTGACTGTATGATCATGTTGTTACATGTGACACCAAGCACTTAATGTTAGCTTTAGGAGGCTACTGGTGGTTTTTTTAGCATACTGTATTGTAGACCAGCCAGACACACACACAAGCCACAATCATTGCTCAGGCAAAGATACAATTTGCTAGTAATCTAGGAAATTCAGCTACGAGATCATTCACTTACAATGATATTCGTTAGGACAGTGATATATGAACTCATGTTGCAGCTTTCTGTTGATACATTCTCCAGAGTCAAATGACTTGTGTTACATTGACACAGAAGGTTTTACCTGACTTTCTTCTGTGTGCCATCAACAGGAATCCTCAAAATTGCCTTATCAACTTTTGAACACTGTGGAGAGATTGTCAGAAATATACAGGGATCCTTCTGTGCCAAATCTGCATGATTTCAGCAGTTGTTAGTGTTCACAGGATGAAGGTGCGTGGGTACACCAGTGTGCATTCAAATGGGACTCTAGGAAAGCCAAGGAGTCACATACTCACACCTGTGCATTGCACACGCATTTCTGTTCAGACTGTTTAAAGAAACAGGGCTTAACGTGTAACAGTAGTCAAAACACTGAATAATTAGGAGGGTGACTTCAGCAACTCTCTTGTGTATCTTAAGATTTATGTGTATTTTTATTCTTCTTTTTAACTCCATGGTGTGAATAGGGCTGTTGGAAGAGGTGGGGAGTGACACAGAGGTCTGACAAAAGCATAAGCATTCTGTTTTGTGTATCGCTGGCAGATTCAAAGTTTGAAGTGCAAAATCTTACTTACAGGAGTGCGATGCCTGAGCCAGAAGGAACATGGGATGACATCAGAATCCAAAAGAAGAGAGTGTAGTTGACAAAGAAAAATATCTGATAACAATCAATATGCAAATCTGGGAGCAATAGGTTACCATTCTTCGTGATTCCCTTTTTCGGATATATTTCACATTTTGGTTGTACATGAGCTTTATACATCTATTCTTTTCATTATCTTGCTTTTTCCTTGGATTGATAGTATTCCCAGCAGAAAGCAATTGTTAATGATTTTTGTTTATCTGTATGTCAGCACAGAAGGAGAATTTCTATCCCACACCATTGAAAAAATCTCTCTAAAGCCACAGGAATGGAAGCAACAGGTTATAATGAACGGAGAGGAGTTGTTTATAAAAGCTAACAGTTCAGCTGGGAGGTTTTTAGAGGTTCTGTGTCCTCCTTAGTGTTTCTTCCTAGAATTTATAAAATTGTTCTTGAAAAGAAATTTCTTCTGAGAAGGTGAGAGTCCTAGGAAATCTTAGCCATGATAAAAGTGAAAAAGGGTGATGACCTGTAAAGACTGAAGAAGAGCAAACAGTGTAAGTTTACAAAAGAATTGAGGACCTGCTCAAGATGAGCAAAACAAGGCTGGTATTTTTTCAAGGAGAAACTGCTGCGGGTAACATGAAAAACAAAAACAATTAATCTGAATGTTTTTAAAAGAAATAATAGGAAACTAATGTGGGAACTTAGAAGGTGTCAAATACTGACTAAATACTAGATTCAAGGAATATTTTTCAAACTAGAGTTCTGCACCGATATAAAGAGTGAGGAGTGAGTGTCAGGAGGGCTAGGGGTGGAGGAGACTGCAATAAGAGCGTTTAAATAATCAAGTGTTTTAGCAGCACGGATGGAGAGAGACAGCTAGATCTTTTATGGCATTGTGGAGATGAAAGTGGCATGTTTTATTGGTAGAACATCTGTGAAAAGAAAGAAAATCTCAAGATGATAAATATGTGAGCTTCTGCAGCAGGAAAGGTGACTACTAATTCTTGGTAGCTTAAGAGAAAAAAGTATTGAGAAAGAGAGACAAGCTCAGTTTTTGACATGCTGAGTTTAAATCAGAAGGGGAACCTGCCATAGAAGGCATTAGAAATGTAAACACCATAAGGAAACAGAATGCTGGATGGAGAAAGAAATCTGTAGTGTGCGTTTAGTAGATATGGTGGTAGTTGTACTGTGATCTCCCATGTGGGAGACCACCACAATGAGAAACAAGGAACAGAGCCCCTGCTAGACTGACAGGAGAGACAGACACAAGAGAAAAGAAGTTTAAAAAGCAACTGGCAGGAGTGGGAAGAGGATATATCTGCCCAGGACTGGGCGATGCCGTGATTTTTTTTAACTAGTCCAGTGACTGCAACCATGTACCTAATTGATCCTACCAAGAGCTGGAACCTATATTAATGTTGTTTGCAATGTGTGGGTGACTTTGTTCAGAAGTAAATCAGCTATGTCTGCATAGTTCTGCTGTGCTGCATAGATGCATCCAAACAGGAAAAATACTTGCTGTACTCTTGTCAAAATTGGGTTAAGATACATAGGAAATGATCATCTGTGGTGAAAGCTCCAGGACCAGAAGGACAATGGAAGTATTTCTGAGCTCTTGCAAGAAAGCTCTGTGCTGATGAAGACACATGCACTTTCTGGTGAATGACTAGGGGTCAGGTGTAAAGAACAAAGGAAAGTAGAATTTGAGGCGAAAGCAGCTGCTGGAAGTGTCACACTTGTCTACCGTGGGGTTTTTGTGCTATGCTTTCTGGGTCATATGTACAGCTATAACAAGTTTTATCTTAGTAGTATGTCCATGTGAATTGGTTTGTTTCTGCCTTAGAATCAATAACAAAGCATTTCAAGGTATTAAAATCAAACCCAAGTATTTATCCGTAGCAGGAGAAGTGTTGAGCTTTAGTCTTTTGCATCTGAGATTTTTGAACATATTGGAATTGCTACTGCATTGGGTTTTTTACTTCTTTTTTTTTAATTTAACAACAGAAAATAGCAAAGCTGTTAGCAGTTGCTAACAGATTTCACTTAGTGCCTCATCTGTTGCTCAGCTGCTATTTACTTGTAGTTCCTGGTCTTTTTTTACACATACAAAAAAAAAGAATGATTGCTTTCCTGCTAAGCTTTTCCTGGATTGAAGCTTTATTTAGGTGACTGTGATTCAGGGAGACCATCAAGAAATCATGCTTTTAGTTTTGTAATCATTGTCCTGTTGTTTTACCCAGTATTATCTGGAACGCTTGGCTGTAGCTTTTTAATGGCTGTGGCACTTGGAGCAAAGTAGGTTAATATACTGGAGATTTGAAATGCAGATGACACTGGTTATTACTGATTACCCAAGTCTCAGTAATCCAAAGTACCGATTTACTGTGGTGCAGACTGCACAGTATTGGTTTTCTTGTTTAGTTGGTTCTGATGCATATATTGCCTGCCTTAGTACTGGATGTGTATAAGTTGACTCTGCTAACTGTATGTAACATCAACTAAGGAGCATTATATTTTACTTTTTGGTGCCTTCTGGCACATTACACCGTCGTAGCTCACTAAACAACCCACTGCTAGACAAAAGACAGCCAAGTAAATGGATATTGTAGATCAGAAAAACAACTACATTAAATACTTTCATTATTGGAGCTGTGACTAACTGTATACTGCAGCCTCAGGAAAACACCAGTGTCCAGTATCTATGCTGAAACTCTTTTGGAACAGAAATAATGCTCAGATCTGTGCAGATAAATAACAGCACTGAGATTACACAATTCTACATTCTATGCTTGGTTCATCCTGTTTCTTGCATTTTTTTGACTGATTCTTTGAGGGCACTGTGAGTCTTGAGGAGACTGCTGGACCTCAAATGAGCTTTCCTGTACCTCTTTTTAAAGGTGTTTTGTATTTTCATGAGAAGCACTAGTGAAACAGCATGGGTTTTGTGCCTTTGAATAAAGGTAGTGTTCAGTGTCCGTTGGTTTAGAAGCCTTGTGAGGTGGCTCTGTAGACTGTTATTAAGAGTTCATTAACTCCTCAGTGGAGGGTGTTAGAAATCCACAATGCTGAGCACTAATGCAAAAAGCATTATCACTTAGCACTGGCAATGTAAAGCTGATCTAACAAAGAGATTAAAAAAAACAACAAAAAACAACCTCAACAATAATTATTCCTCAGTTTGCTAGGTGATGAACTCTACATTTTAAGTTTGTGATCTATAGTTACTTAATTGCCATATTGCTTTGAAATATTATAAAAATACTATTTTCTAACAAACGTAGCCTTTATGTTGGTTTCTGAATTAAGTTGGAGAAAGACTGAACCTTTAAATCACCAGGGAAATGTGACCTCTGCCATGCAGTGCTGCTCTGTATCCTAATCCCATAGCAGTTGTTACAGTCCTGACGTATAATAAATATATATCT